TGAGCCTATAGCTTCTCCCAAGACATTTTTTTTTTGATGGGCGGGCTATACGTCTCCAGCCATCGTGGCCGAGCCTAATGTCAAGTCCACGGAGACAAAATCCTTCATGGTCCCCTGAGCTACCTGCACCGCCCAGGCCCCCTGAACTGCCAGCTCCGCCCTGGAGGCTTCCCGTTCTACTAAACCACGGCCTCGTCAGCCTCCAGGGCGCCCACCCTCCCACTCCTGTGGATGTAATATGGCGCGAGGACTCATGTTTTGAGTCTGTTTGTCACTTTTTGAGTTTGTTCCTGATCTGTTTTCCTGTTCTGTCATGTCAAGTCACCTTTATTTGTATAGTGCTTTTTACAATACAGATTGTTTCAAAGCAGCTTTACAGTGATGACAGGAAAATAATGCAACAAAGTTTGTTTCGGCTGTACAGCAGATCTAGAAGAAAATAGCGTCATATTCAAGCTTAAGTAAGTTCAGTGATGGTTAATTTCTGTAGTAAAAAAGTTTTTAATTTATCTATACAGCCGCGGCTCTGGTGAAAACCGTGATGTCATCGTCCAGGTCAATTCAGTTCTCATACAATAATGTCAATGCAGGCAGATCAACAATATTGTTGAATATTAAGTGTCCCCAACTTAGCAGCCAAAAGCCAAAGGTGACAAAGGCGACAGTGGCAAGGAACCAAAACTCCATCAGGTGACAGAATGGAGAAAAAAACCTTGGGAGAAACCAGGCTCAGTCAGGGGGCCAGTTCTTCTCTGGCCCACGAACGAACAGTGTATGATTATGATTCAGGCAGCATTACAGGTCAGAAGTCAGATTGGATCAGGATTCAGAATATTTATCCAGTTGGTTGAAGACGTCATCACGCCAGTATGGAGACTTTGTTGTTGAGGATTGTTGAGGATCAGTCCCACTGGCTGTTGTGTCGATGAGGCCTTCACAGGGGAGAGTCTAGTTGACACAATCTCTGCTGACACTTCAGAAATGCGTTGTGGTAGTGTCTAGGCGCAGGTCCACCATCTGATCTGGATACGGCCCGGATCCGTCTGACTAATAACGCATTGTGGTCGTGTCTAGGCACAGATCCACCATCTGATCTGAATACGGCCTGATACGGCTGACTGCAGTTGGGATAAACAGAGAGACCAGTATTAGTGTAGATGCCATTCTTCTTATGATGTTACGAGTACATTGGGTGTTATAGGAAGTGTTCCCGGTTTCGGCTGACCTAGTTTATGCAGCCTAACAATCATTTAACGGATTTGAATAATAGAAATGTATAGTGTTCAGTGCTAGGAAGACTGTTCCAAAGTTTAGGTGCTAAATAGGAAAAGGATCTACCACCAGCAGTTGATTTTGATATTCTAGGTATTGTCAACTTGCCATAATTTTGAGATTGCAATAGACATAACGGACTATAATGTGTTAAGAGCTCGCTCAAGCACTGGGGACCTAAACCATTTAGTGCTTTATAAGTAATCAGCAAGATTTTAAAATGTATACAATGTTTAATAGGGAGCCAATGCAGTGTTGACAGAACCGGTCAAATATAGTCATGCTTCCTGGTTCTAGTAAGAACTCTAGAGGCTGCATTTTGGACCAGCTGGAGTTTGTTTATTAAGCATGCAGGGCAACCACCCAGTAGAGCATTACAATAATCTAGCCTTAAGATCATGAACCCATGAACTAACTGTTCCGCATTTGACATTGAGAGCATATGTCGTAATTTAGATATATTTTTAAGATGGAAGAATGCGGTTTTACAGGTGCTAGAAACGTGGCTTTCAAATGAAAGATTGGTATCAAAGAGCACACCCAGGTTCCTAACTGATGACAAAGACTTGGCAGAACATCCATCAAGTCTTAGACAGTATTCTAGGTTACTACGTGCTGAGGTTTTTTGTCCAATAATTAAAAACTCTGTTTTATCAGAATTAAGTAGTAAATTACTAATCATCCAATTTTTTTATATCAGCTATGCATTCCATAAATTTTGTGAATTGATTCGTTTCGTCAGGGTGCGAAGAAATAGCAGAGTAAACTCAGCATAACAGTGAAAACTAATTCCATGCTTCCTAATGATATCTCCCAAAGGTAGCATGTACAGGGTGAAAAGCAACGGTCCTAGTACTGAGCCTTGCGGTACTCCATACTGAATTTGTGATCGGTATGACATCTCTTCCTTTACTGCTACAAACTGATAAAGGTCCGATAAGTATGATTTAAATCATGCTAAGGCAATTCTGTGAATGTCTGTGTTCGTTTGTTATCTTTCTAGTTTGCTAATTAGTTCTGTCCTTTGCCTGTTCGTTTCCATGGTTACTGATTTGATTTCGTTAATTAGTCTCATTAGTTCCTCGTTTTGCTGAGTATTTAAACCATGTGCGTCTTTCAGTTTATTGTCAGTTCCACGTTATTACTGCGTTGGTTATTCTGTTCATGTTCCTGTTATTCCTGAGTGTTTTGTGAACATTTGAGTTTGCGCCTGAAATTAAAGGTAAAGCTGCTGCATTTATATGCTGGAACCAACGCTGACAGATAATCTGTGCTTCTAAAAATAAAGTAAATTTTATTTTATACTATACTATTTCAAAAAGCTGATATTGCTAATTACGACCAAATTATTCATGAGGATTCATAATATGATTGGAGTGAATTCTATATGTAGCATCTTCGTGAAAAATCTCCATTATCAACGCAATTAGCAACTATATTTCATAATTAGGAGGAGGCTGAAGATGGAATAGGAATTAAGTAAGTAATTAAGTATTAAGTAATCATTTAGTAGATATTGCATTTATGCACTTATTCACACCATTGATTGGGATAAAAAAACAGACAAATGTTTGATAAAGCCACATTTTGTTCTTTTTAGTAAAAACAACCTAAAACATTTTAGGTAACACTTCATTTTACAGTGTCCTGCTCAGAGCCGATCCGCCCTATACGCTCACTACGCAAGCTGCGTAGGGCCCCGCAAATTACTCAAGGCCCCGCCTCCCCCTCGTGTCATAGCGCGTCAATTAATGTTTACAACATCAATGACAAAATGAAGCGAAACTATCCTTCTGGTCACAAAAAGAGGGGGGAAAAACATGAGTGAATTGCGGAAACAACAATCAGGTAAACTTGTGTTCTCTCCTCTCCAAGTTTGATGTCAGCAAAGTAAAGTTAAGTTTATGTGCATTTCTATTGTGTTTTTTAAAGTGCAACGGCTCGGAAAAGATAACCGCGTCGCGTGTGTTATCATACGTTCATATGCGCGTGCACGAAATGAAACGCGCATTTTTCAAGCAGAAATATATGTGGAGAGAGACCAGACATACTGTAGCCTACAATATTTGGGCCTGAATGATGACACTCCTCATCAAATTACACATTATACATACTTTTAAAACAAGACACTGATTATCTAGTCTCAGTCAATGTGTAGTTAAAAACTCTAAACAACTGCTTATGCAAGATGGAAAGCAATGTATTGACAATTTGACATTGACTATTGATTTATAGGCTATATTGAATTTAAAATGTTGATTAGCTGGACATACTGGTCAATATGGATGCACATCCCTCAGTAAATAATAACCATAAATCAAGAATTGCTTCAACATGCATACTAAAACAAACCTTTAACATATGGCAAGCCATTTTAGCTTTTATTCATTCACAGTTTATGCATTTTTTATATCAAGAATTCATTTTTTTTTTTTACTATTTGCAATGTGAATTCTTGATTATTTTTTACTAGTAGGGCCCCTTAGTTACATTTTTATCTACCAATGTCTATTTCTGATATCAGGAATTACATGTTCACTTGTACAAAAGTTAATTCTTGATTTCAATGATGTCATCACTCACAGGGATTATTGATATCTGCAACACAATATTCACTTGTTATCTTAATATTCTATAGAAAATACTCTATTCAATAAATATCATTCTGTTCTATATTATTGTACTTATTCTTTGACTGTTTGGTTTAAAGGAGGGAGGATTGTATTGGGAGAACTGAAGTGTCAGGTGTGACTGTGGCAATGGCAAATGGTTTACATAGCTCACGGCTTCACGGGTCAGGTAGAGGGCCCCTTAGCAGAATTTAGCTTAGGGCCCCAGGGAGGTCAGGATCGGCACTGGTCCTGCTACATGTACTTTCTATAGTAATAGCAGTAAATTATGCATAATTACAAGCAACAAACCCTAAACTCCAACCCATATATAATTAATTAATATTACTCACTTAAATGTATAATTACACTGTAACAAGGACACACTAAATAGTGTTAACATATTTATTTTTTAGTCTAATATATTTTATTGTATTGACACAATATATTCAAATCTATTATAATATATTCCGTATAACCTGCCAAAGTTAATATTTTACTGTTTTGTGTTGTTGTTGTTGTTGCACACGATATCTGATATTTGTAAAAACTGTACAATATGGTATAAATAAATATGAGTAGTGACAGTATACTATTTATTCTAATTGTATTATATAAATACACAGCCATTTAACAGTAATTTTCCAAATAGGGCCTATTATTATTATTATTAATTCATTATTTATTATTATTAAACACTTTTATTACATAGGATGCTAAATGCACTATATAAAACATCGTTGATTTTGCAAGATCCTGTTATAGCATAACTGTACTATAGGGCCTATATTGTGAAGGAACAATGTTCAACAAAAAATACTCAAGCACATGAAATATTAAGAATGACGTGTCGTGTATGCAGTAACACTATTGTTAACATACTGTTCTTACACTGTGGCTTTTTGCATCCGCTTCCATCAGAGCACATGTGCTCTGCCCCTCTCCATCCAGACAGTGCGAGAGACTAGTGTACTTCAGACTCTAGAGGTCTCCATCCTTCAGCATCCACGCGCTGTGCATTCTTCTGCATCGGCCACAGACTGAGAGAGGGAGGGACACAGAGAGAGAGAGAGAGAGAGAGAGAGAGAGAGAGAGAGAGAGAGAGAGAGAGAGAGAGAGAGAGAGAGAGAGAGAGAGAGAGAGAGAGAGGACACCGCGCAACGGCAACCTGAGACGCGTGTCCTCCCTCAGTGCGAACGGGAACTTTGATGATTTGACGGTGAAACCGATGGAAACGTGGAGATGATGTTCCAGTCCTTGATGATGGATTCGTCTTTCAGCATGTCTAGCTATGCTGTCCTTGTGCTCGTCTCCTAATAGACAGCTGATTCATTTCTCTCCTCAAGTACTTCTGCTTTACTACAGCTTTGGTGATTGAACACTTGAGACGGCGTGAAGAACAGTGAAGGAAGCGGGGCGCATTGTTCAATTTTTCAAATATCATTAGCCTATTATAAAGGACTTCCAGTTCATACGGGATTCGTGATGTCTGCAACATACCGCTCCTTGTTCCTCTGTAAGTAAACTGAGTTATTTATTCCTTTAGAGTATGGCATGCGGTGTTATTTTTGGAAATCTAACCTTGTGTTTTAAGTTGTCCGATCCTATCGTTAGTAACATATTCTTCACCTTCATCCATGTCAAATAAGTTTGAGCAGTGGATGAAGTCTTCAATACGAAGGCATAAATATAACAAAATTTAACCTATAAGCTTTACAGAATAGTCAGAAGTCCTGTTCATAACAAGACCCCCACCCAGTGGAGTAAATCAAATCCAGATGCTTTTGGTTTTGGGGTTCTGATGAGATGAGACAACTCTTGAAAAAATAAGGGTTCCAAAACCAAAAGTTCCACGGAGAAGTTTTAATTCACTAGTTCTTTAGAAATCCATCACGTGCTGGTGCTTTAATGAACCCAGAAACCAAAATGCTGATCCAAAAACCCAGTAATGAAATCTCAAGGTCTGAACCAGGTTAGAACCCAGAAAGGGTATAGAAAAATGTTTTTGTTTTGTTTTTGTTCAAAAAGAGGATTTTATGACGAACTTGAGGATCTTTATTTATTTATTTATTTATTTTTTTACATTGTTCCATCACTGTATTTGTGTCTGAGACCCCATAACTATAATGGTCGGACAGTAGCTAGACTACAATGTGCATTTATGGAAACATTAAATCATAATGCATGCTAAGCATCATCCAAATACAAAACAAATGTTTAGCATTTGTTAGTACATTTGTGCTACGGCACTAAATTTAACGTTCTTTGCAGAGCGGAACAAAGACAGGGCACGCCGCCCAATCCAGATCTCTTAATTTGTTGTGACATCTGATGACGAAAATAGATCCTCATGTTAAACGTCCAGTGATGAGCCGGTGGCGCGAGCCGCTGCTGTCCGGTGGGCACGAGGGTCTCGCGTGTCTGCGTGTGCTGGAGGATGTGTGAAAGCATGCATGCATCCATGGGTCACATTGGGAGTCCTCCACCGTCTCGCGCGCGGTTCATCGTCCGATTCTCGGGCGACACGTTTGTAGTATAGTGCGCGTGACCCATCGTTTATTATAATCACTGCGCCAAACTTTGTCCCATCTTTCGTGTCCTCTGCGCGTCTATATGATGCTGCATGAAAGCGGTGTGTGTTGAGTCTGACTGGCTATTGTGCTCCCTAAATGTATGATAAGCTGTATTAAAAATTCCTCGCGCATTCTCCGTGGCGTGTTGAGAAGGTCAACGCTGCTGTAACACTCGTGACAGGAGCTTCAGCTTGCCGAAAACATCTCCTCACACAATTATTTGATATCAGCATAATTCATGCTTTCATTTTTCCTCAAAGGTTTCAGGAAAGTGTTTGGGGTCCTGCGAATAGCCCATTTCTCAGAAATTAGTTTCTTTTGAAATCCAGTTCTTACACAGGCTACCATAAAGAGTTCGTTAAAAAAAAAAAAAAAAAAAAAAACTGTAGAACATCTACGGTAGGCTATACATCCATCTGAGGAACAAAGATAGTTGATTTAACACACAACCCAATAGCAAGGCATGTTGTCACACTGTCTGGGGTAAGTTGTCACTTTGGGAACATATAGCATAAGCTAAATGTGCAGAAATGTAAAAGGTAGACTAACATACAAAAATACCAAACTATTGTTTTGGCCAACTATTAACAAATGTTAATAAATAGTTCAATGTTTGGGTTCAAATCTACTTTCATTTTATGAACCCTTGTTTAAATGTTACCCGGTATGTTTATATTTGCTTTTTTACTATCAACTTTAAATACAGCAAAATATAATGTTACGGCTAACATATCTGCCTTATAGAAATATAAAATGCCTGGTAACACTTTACATAAGTGTCCATGATTTAATTTGCAATTAATTGCTTACCTAATATGAAATTATTGCTATAGTAATTATAGCCTTTATTTACATTTGAAATGTTTAATATCTACACTGCAATGTAAAGTGTTACCAGTGCATTGCTTGTAGCGCTGGAACTGGAACCCACACACCTATGGGATGCTGCTAGTTGGTGTAATCCCATTATATGGTAATGGAAAGATGGCAAGAGAAGACAGAGTGTGTTACATGTGCCCTGACACGTGCATCAGATCATGGGATTTATTTTTTATGTATCCTTCATGTTTGCACATTTGCATCAAATGAAGTAAGATGGTTAAATGGTCTAAAATATACAGATATACAAATTCAAACTAATAATTTCTAAGCATAATTATTTATTTAAATGCAATATAAAGGGATAGAATCCCGTTTCACTTTGAGCACTCTTGAAATATTGATTTATCAATCAGGTTACCGCATTTTAAAGGTCATGCTTATTAGCTATTGTTTGTCCAAAAGGACAATTAATTGTCTTTTTTTTTTTTTTTGTCTTTAGGCATTGACTGAGCCTTAATTATTTTCAGACATATTATTAGATACATTTTAATGTGTTGTTTGGTTAATGATTATCTTGGTCTGTGTTGTGAGAGAGGAATGGATTGAGAACTGACACTGTGCTTGTAGTAAATCCCATTGGCTTCTGCATTAAATTAGTTTAATGAAATAGCCTTGTAGTGTCATTATAAGTACATTTCTTCAAGAATGTATAACTCCATTAATGGAAAAATGTTGGGCGTGTAGAGCTCATCTCATTGCTGAATATCCTCAATGATAGAGTGAATCAATGTTGCATAATGGGGTAATTTCCATTTCATTTGATTTGATGCTTTCGAAGATCTTACATTACTTAAGTGTAGCACCCTGGAGGAAAGTAATATTTATTTAAAAGTCTTATAGCAAAAATGAGCTGCTGCTACTCTCTGGAAATGAGCTAAAAAAGGACAAACCAACCAAACTGTGCAGAAATCATGGCTAACCACATGGATGATAATAGTCTAACCCCTCTCACCCCGACTGACTTGAATGGAAAACGTTAAATGGGAAGTCTGGGAAGTAATAACAGATTGTAATTTACTTCTCAGGAATGTAATGGAACCATAATAAATAACTTTCTCCATGTCACGTGATTAACGCTAATCCAGCATAGAGAATCCATGACGTTCAAACTGTCAGTTTTGGGGATTGACAACCGCATCTACTTACAGGTGCAAGTCTCGAAAAGTCCCAAATACTGTCTGAATGAACATAGAACAGGAGTCAAGCCCGTATTCTCTTACCAGTAACCATATTGACAGTAACCACATCAAAGATGGCAACGTCCATAAAACTTAAAAAGATTTATTATGTTTGATATGACAAGTCCAATCGAGCCAAGAGTTCATCCCATAAATCTTCATCAGCAGTTTTATATCAGGGTGGAAAACTGACGGGAGCAGCTCTAGTGTGGAGAACAGTGACTGGATATAAAACGTTCAGATGCAATATCTCCGTCGCTGTAAGTTACCGAAAGCAAAACCACGCATGAAAACACACAACACACGGTAGACATACGTATGTGCAGTGCAGAGCGTCTCTCTTGCAGTGTATGACGTGACAGACAACTAGTTGTCCTCTCCGGTTCCGTTCACAGCGCACTGAATGCAGTTGTGAGTCCTGAAAATTTAAGGGTGTGGGTTCGGTTATAGAATGCGGTTGTCATTCCCGTAAATAACTGAACTGTGTGTGAACGTAACCATATTAAGGACTCAAATACAGGACTGATGACAACTATGCCTCTTTTTACAAGATGTAATATAAGTCTCAGGTGTCCCCAGGATGTGCCTGTGAAGTTTCAGCTCAAAATACCCCACAGATCATTTATTATACCATGTTGTAAATGCCCATTTTTGAGTGGAAGGAACAACATGCTGTTTTCGTGGATGTATCTTTAAATGCAAATGAGCTTCTGTTCCCCGCCCCGCTTTCCAGAAGAGGGCGGAGTCTTTACAGCTTGTGCAGAGTACACATCTGTTTGATTTTGATTGTCATCTCTACCGAGATATATCCAGCTGCAGACCCGCAGCACCACCAGTTTCAGAACCCCAGCGCCAGAACCGGAAGTGAGGGAGGGGCGGAATTATTTACAATGACACAAGCATGGTTATTTTTGCAAGTATTTAAAAATATTTAAAATTGTTGCACCTTTTAAATAATATTTAGGGTATGTTTTTATTACACAGTGAGTCACTGCTCGTTGTATGAACTATAACTGGTATGTGACAAATAAAGAGCAAGTGTTTTTTGAAGACGTGAGAGTGCGTGCGCGCGCGGCCAGGGCTCTCTCCCTCTCTCGGCTCTGCCCTGTCATGCGCAGCAGTCATTCTATTCTACATCACTCACCGATCAAAATAGGCTTTGGCGGGACAAAAATTTGCTTTGGCGGCCGCCAAAAAGCGGACGATCTGACGGGTTTTAGAAGATTTAATACAACCTGAAACTAAAAAACAGACCCGACCTCTATTTGAGACCGGACTTATATTTACCCAAACCTGCAGCCACACCGGGCGTGTAAAGAGACAATCGTCTATTTGGGACTCGGCTATTATTTGAAGTAGGCTACGGTACATTTTTATGGTTTCTTTTAAAACAATGCCGGATTTTCTCTCTCTTTTTAGATTTTTGACATTATTTTACATAAAGAAAAATGCATGCTGCACATGTTCTTGTGAAATAAAGTATATTTTATATAAAATGACCATAAGTTTCAAGCATTATTTTTCACCATCATGATCAGTTAGTAACTCTCATAATACAATGAAACGGATAAATATATAGAATTCTATTACACAAAATCAATGTTTTAAAATGCTTATTGTACTATACCTTAATGTATCATTATAATACGTATAAAGTGTAACGTTTCGTGTGTAATAATGCCGTTTCGTGTCTAAGCAAATTACGCTCCAAAGCGTTAGGTGGCGTTACTCGGTTTAGAACGTAAGCTCCACCCCTCACTTCCGGTCCTGGCGCTGGGGTTCTGAAACTGGTGGTGCTGCGGGTCTGCAGCTGGATACTATTGTCTCTACCGCGGTCATGCTCAAGTGACATTGTAGTTCTTCATCATCATGAAAGTGTATTA